TGATATTTAAAATGGGGATTGTCTTTAATCCAGTTATTTATCGACACTTCTCTGTTTTAAGGCATTATAATTTTATTTAATATTGAAATCGCTCACTTCAGTCACTTCTCACTTCTAAGTATTGTAAATAATGTTGAGGTTAAGTAAAGATTTATACCTGTGTTGCCGATTTGACTAAAGTATACAAGGTGTTTCGAAATTGTGCAATTCATAGATTCCAACAACAGAGAAAATAGGTCAACATGCCTCAGACATAGGCACATTCCCTTTACAAATTCTAAAATAGGTATCAATTTGCGAAAAAAAGGCACTTTAGGCAAAATATAGTGCCCTTTATAATAAATTATACGTTAAAATTTGTATTTTAATTTCACGGCACTATGGGGCTTTGAATATTCATAATAGGCCAATGGGCCTAAAATCCCATCTCTAGTTATAACTGTGTGTATAAGTGTTCGCTATATTGCAACAAAAATGCTTGGACGCCGACGTGCAGTATTGGACTGTAATAACAATTTAATTAACGTCGAGAAATCGTTATTTTAAGATGCAAAAGTTTAAATAAACTGATTTAGCTGCAATAAAAAAAATAAAGCTATTTTCTCATCGGGAGGAATGGATTTCCGCATAACCATATCAGACAAGATCGTTATTCCTCCTTCCTTCCCTTAACACGTGGAGTACCACAAGGATCGATCCTTGGGCCTCTTCTTTTCACTACATATCTATTTGATTTTGGTTACAATCTTCAATTTTTTAATTTCCATAGTTACGCTGACGATACTCAACTATACGGGTCTTTTACCCCACTATGCGCACCAGATTTACTACCATTAATTAATTCGGACTTAAAGAGTTTATCGGAATGGTCTAAGAACAACTCCCTTGTTCTGAATCCCCTTAAATCTATTGGTATGTTGATTGGTACAAAAAGCTCTTTGGCGAAGGCGGATCTTCCTGCTGATTTAGTCTTACTTGATAATGCGCCCCTTATGTTTAAAAGTTCACACAAAAGTCTTGGTGTAATAATTGATGAAACTCGTTCCTTTTCTCCTCACGTCAGTATGCTGCTTCAAAGTAGCTATGCGAAACTGCGTTCTTTGTACAGACTTAGAAATGGTCTTTTGCAGTCTGTCAAGATGACACTGGTAGAGTCTTCTGTCAAGTTTTAATTATGCTGATTCTGTCTATGGGCCTCTCCTTACTAGTACTGAAGTTAGTAGAATTCAAAGAGTGCAGAACTGTTGTATAAGGTATGTATCAAGCATTAGAAAATATGATCATGTTTCACGGTTTTACAACCAACATAATATTATGCGTATGCGAGAAAGGAGAGAACTTCACTATACTTGTCTAAATCACAGAACTATAAAATCGTGGAGATCTTCATGATCGTAGATTAAGAAATATTATGGACATCAAAATACCTGCGCACAGTACCACACGTTACGAAGCTTCCTTTAGTTACCTGTGTGCCTATTTGTACAACAAGGTTCCTCATGTTTATCGGTCGCTACCTCTGCAACCATTTAAAAGGAAAATTAAAAATCTTTTGAAGAGATTCACTCTTAGTTGGCTAAACGGTGCTTCTCGGTTAATACAAATGTTAATGTTTTTCTCCATAACACGAATTTTTTTTGTATTATTTAGTACAACCAATCTGTATTTTTCAGTTTAATGTTTTTTTTTGTGTCATTTATTTCGTGCTGGTTAGGAAAAACAGCATTATGCTGATCCTCGCCAGAATAATAAAGATTATTATTATTATTATCTTTTTTTCGAAGAAAATGTTCACTCTGCAGCGTTTCAAAAATGCGCCTGGGTCCGCCAGTGACGTCACTACACGCGGCGAAAAAATTCAGTGATCGAGCAATCCTGTATTACATACCATCCTTGGGACAGTCCTCTATCCTACTTTCTAGTTTAATTCGAAAAAATGCTGAAAGTCTTATCTTAGCTGAAACAGCTTCGTAACAATATACACCACTAGTTATCAAGGAAATTAAATATTAAGATAGATATCAAAGCGATTAAATGTGAAATTTTCTAGGGAAATCTAGTGCATTAAATGCACTTTCTCATACTCAACTATGCAGGTGCGAAAGGTGGATAAACCGTGTGAAGGGCGGTTTATCACAATGTTTTAAATTTTTCAAGGCACTTGCAACGAAACCATCCGCTGGAGACCGAGGTACAAAAAATTAAAAAAAAACAAAAATAAGAAACTTCAGAGTACTTAAGGAGAAAGTTGCTCTACTGCACCGCAAATTGATGCTCACAATATGTTAGTGAAGTATATGCAAGTAGACGCTAATTTAAAAGAGAGAGAGTCTTTCCACATATGCAAGCAGACCAAATATCCCTAGTAGCAAAAAAAGGACTTGTTATTATGTGCATTTGGCGCCGCTATATAAAAATACACCGCGAAAAGCACTTCTAGGAAGATGCGCGAATTGTCAAAATTACTTATAGAAATGAAAAAATTAAATCCCACAGTACGAAACTTAATCGAAGCACTTAAGCCACAAAATTTTGATTTGCGCTACAAAGATTATTGCCATGTATGATGCCGTAAAAGATTGCTTTATTTCCCCCACATATGCTATGAATATTAGTACTTCGCTTAAACAATGTTGTGACATTGCAATTGATTTGTTATTGAGAAAACGGAATTTGGGCCTAAATGGCAACCATATACTGAAGCTGAAGCAGATTTTAAAACGATGATTCACTTATTAGAATCAAATTGGAGATACGATGTATCAAACCATGCGGTCAATAACTTGACCCTTTAAAAGTGGAATAAGATTACGCTAATCCCACTTGTAAGTGATCTAAAACTAATAAAAGAATTTTTATCCAATAAAGCGGAGGAAGCATCGCAGAAGATGTGTCTGCTTATAATGAATTGTTGGAAACCATATTTTGTAGTCTTGTTATTAAATCGTCGACGTCCTGGGGCGAGATTTGCTTTACATTTGTATGAATCTAACAACGAAAATGCGCAAAATTACGAAGAATTTTCGGAAGCCGTTTCACCGACTGATAAAATATTACTGCAAAAATTTAAAAGAGTTGTAATTACACCCCGTCCGATTTAGTCAAGATGTGCAAGAACATATACGTCTGTTATCATCTAGGCAACATTTTGTAAAACGTGATAATCCATATACTTGTTTGTTAAGGGAAATGTGGGAACTCCCACAGCAGGTTATAAAGTTCTAGAAAAATATGCAAAAATGTGCGGGGCCAAAAACCTGAAAGCAATAACTGCCACTAGACTAAGAAAGCACTTGGCTACCATAACCCAAATATTTAACAACATGAACAAAACAGATATTGAACAATTGGCTAACTTTATGGGGCATACGATGGGTACTCGGAGAAATTCTTATCGCATACCAAACTTTAGCGTGGAAGGAAGATGCGCGCACCACTAAAAGGAAGCAAAATGATGGTATAATCATAGTAATAATAATTGTGCGGAACGAATCGTGTAACTAATAAATATTCTACGCAAACTATACTAAGTTTTGATTTTACAAAAAAAGTGTCTGTCCCGGTGATATTTGGTTGCACACATTTGCTACACATGGGAAAACAAAACAAGTATTATTTTTAGCATTTTTCCGCATTGCCTGCATATTGATACGTACGACGTGCCCAATATAATATTTCTGGATGGATCGATGAATTTGCATTATATTCTAATAGAACCAAAACAAAATCTTCTGCCTGTATTTGACTAGCTTTTGAAGGTTCTAGTGTACGCCGATTATCTTCCTCTACTAAAGTTCTTTTGGTTTGGTTTGAATTCTTTTTGTTATAGTTTTCTATTTCATTTTGTTCCTGGTGTGTCCTGGCAATAATGGTTCTGCCTTTTCTCTTCTTCGTCATGAAAAGGATGCCATGGACTATAGTAATCATTTTTAAATAAATCCTTAAAGATATACCTTTACTTCGGTTTGATTGGTACAATCCACGTAGTGGAGGTTAAGCGTTTGCGTATAGCGTACACAAATCTGGTAAGATTCCGTGAAAAGCTACCCTTCTGTTTAAAATTTAATTAGTAGTAATCACCTCCTTCATATACTAATCCGATCCTGTTAGTCTTTTTCGTTAAATGACTTAATACATTCGTATTAAAGCTCAAACATTTATAAATGGAAACGAGTTTGACTTTTTATCTTTCACATTTTACTTAACGTAGGGTTAAGGTTTGGATACAAACTTGGAACAATTTATATCCACCAGACTTTAGGTTATCAACATGCATTTTTCACAATCTCTAGCTAGGCTATGATCAAATCTTTTAAAATATTGGAGGGATCGATCGGAAAAAAAGACAGAACGTGATTACATTCCGGGATTAGTCTAGTAGAAATATTTTCGTAATAATTTCAAATTGATGTCAAGTCACGCCTTCCCATTCGTTATACAATCATTTAAAACTGTGTGCTGTAAATTTGATCATTCAATTAACTTTGTTACTATTAAACTACAATACCCGGTGATGTTTGCTCGCATATATGAGCAATGAGTCAACTATTAACTCTACCTAACGTAAAACTGTTGGCGCAGTCACAGATAGATGGATTAATTTATGGGACATCCATGCGTACGTGATTTAGTTAGAACAGTGCGTAAAGCGGAACGAAGCGCTACAAACTGAAACAGTGCGTACATGTACATTGTACAAGGTTATTTGTATCGCAACTCCAGAAAATGAGTACTTGCAGAGCATTTTATGGACGCGTAATACACATTATGCTGTGCTGTTGTAGAAAAATAATTGAAAAAGTAATAAAAATTTCAATATTCTGCTTCAGTCTTGTATAAACGGTGATACAACTCATTCAATATCTGTAAGTCATGCATCATGATTAATGA